GGCGGGCACATGGCGCATATTTAAGGGCTGATCGCACTTGTGTGGGCTGAGCTGCAAGGGGCCTCGAGGCGAGAGAGACCGCCGAGTTGTGGGTCAGATTCGGACTTGATTGGTTTGTAATCACAGATTGTCATGTGAAAGATGGTGTGCAAACTTGATTCCTCATTCCCACAAATTGACAGGGCGTGGGCCAAGCGCGGCGCAAAGATCACTGCAATCAGGTTGCACGACACGACAAGACACTTCACGCTATCACGCAGCACGTGCACACAGAGGCGGGCGCCGGTGAGCCTGATGACAAGCCCACCAGCGGCTCTTCGGGTCAGAAAAAGGACGCTTTGTAATCAAGGTGAATCATGTGAAAGATGGTGATAAGACGTTATGACTCATCATTCCCGAAAGGCCACCACCACAACACGTATGTACATTCACACACATACACAGACGCGCACACAAACACACAAAGCCCCGACCCACCTCCGGTATAAGCTCCGCCAAGGTGTTCACGGTGATGCCAGTGGGGGCGCGGTCAAAGGGTGCGTACACAAAGTTGTAGTCCTGCGTGATGATGGCCAGGTTTGCGGTGGGGCCGCCCAGGACGTTGTCCTCCTCGTCAACATACAGGCCCTGGGAGGTGTGAAGGGGGGGTGTGGCCGCGTAGGGAGATTTTTGGGCGGAGGGGTGAGTGAGCAGGGGGGCGGATGCTGCACTGAGCCGCCAGGGTGCGCGACGCCCATTAGGTTCATCCTTGGCTGGACCAGAGATTGCCTTCACCCGCGAAGGACCCTGCAAGATCGCACCACATCGGCCAAACAACGATATAGCCGCAAAGCAAGTGTTGGCCCCAGCAAACCCACCACGTCGTATCCGCGCCCCTCGGCCTCCAGCTGCACCAGGACGTTCTGGAGGTAGCTGGCGCTCTTCAGGATGGCAAAGTACGCAGCGGGCGGCTCCACGGGCGATACCGCCGCCTTCCAGCCATCGACGCGCACGAACTCGTCGCTCTCAGCAAACTCTGCCGTGCAGAGCACATACAATGCGGGCTGTGTGCATTCACTGGTGGAGAGTCCCAGGCCGCCGCGGCCGGGGGTGACCCAAAACTGCACGTGGCCTGCACCGCGTGCGTGCAAGAGGCGAGTTGAGGTGTTGTGAAGGGCTATAGAGAGGAGTTGGTGGCAAACGCTTTGGCTGCTTGGTGAGAGGCCGGATGTCAACTGGGCCGTTGACATCAGTCCTCCGGGGCCCAAGGAAGGGCCACAGCTTTGAGGGTGGGAGGGCAGGCTTTGACCGCGACACAAGAGAGAATGACGCCAAACAGCAGCACATTCATTGGCCTTCAGTTCAGGTCTCCAAGTTGTTTCCACACAGGCTATGCCTGCTCGGTAGAACGAAAGTTTTTGTTTGATCATCATCGGCCAGCTTGGTCAACAACAGCCACCCCTGCTCTGCTTGCCTCTCATACAACCACGACCCATGCCTGTCCCTTCCTGCACACAACTCAAAACCCCTTCCACCACGCACCGTTGAGCTTCATGCTGGCCGCCGCCGTATCGAGCAGCACCCGCTTGATGTCGGACGTGGGCATGGGCAGTGGGATCCCGGCTGCCTCCGCTGCCACGGTAAACCGCGCAATGTGCTCCTCCAGCTGGTACAGCGTCCCACCACAGAGCGCCACGACATCAAACACGCCGTGTCCGCGGTGCACCATGTGGTCGTCTATGTGCAGCACCATGAGGCCCGGCTCGGTCACGATGCCGCCAAGGACAGACGAGTAGAAGGCACCAAACTCGCGCGCGGCACGCGCATGCTCAGCTTCAATCAGCCGCTGGTAGACCTGCGGAGGATCAAGATCGTAATCGGTGCCTTCAGGTGAGAATGGGGCCACATACGGCGCTGGATGGGGAAAAGAGCCCGCCAGATCACACTCACCCGCTCATTGCTGAGTCTTGGTGTGGCCAGCGTCCGCGCTCCAGGCACAACGCTCGGTGGCTTGTATCCCGCGGGCAGAGCGGCGGACTGCCACAGCCCGAAGTCATTCAGGGCACCGTGGCATTGAACGTGGCGGCGCCCGCAGTGGCCCCGAGGCCTCCAGGCCCATGAGGCGCATCTGCCACTAGTAGAGGCCACGCATTGCTGCTGCACGAGGGCCTCCATGAGCCGCCCGGCCTGAGTGTGCAGATCACAGCTGCCGGGACCTTTGTTGGTGCCTGGGATTCTGTGCGTGCGTGTGTATGCCGTATGTTGTGTGTTGGGCTTCGCGGTACACGTTGTAACCGTCAGCATAAGCACGCGGGGTCGCGGCTTGCAATTCAATTTGATCAGGGCAGCTTGCTTGGCTGGCTGCCGCTGCGCTCAACAGCCACACCCCTGGTGACACACACCATGCTCTGCAGAAATAGCCGCCCCTGATCCAGGCCACTGATGCGGCCAGGCGGTGTTCTGGAGTGTACAGGACGACAGCCAACATAAAAGCTGCCTGCAGCCTGACAGCCGAGCACTTCTATGCAAGCAGACACGAGTCCCTGGAGAGATCGGCCACAGCAGTGCTGTGGGCCTGCATTGCAAACTACTTTGCACCTGTGCAATCTTCAGGACTATTATTAGCCTGAGCGAACATACGTGCTGGGTCAGGACAATGGCTGCAGCAAGCGAAACAGCAGTCAAAGTCGGATGGTCAAAATGACACCCGACAAACAAGTCACACGTGTGGTTTACATATGTTTAACAGACGTACAACACACTTGTGATACAAGCAAATGCAGTCCACGCATGATGGGCAACTATTGCGGACCTACTTGCCAGTCCTCTTAACCTGATGTTGCTGTCAAGACCCAGCCGGCCAGGTGAGAGTGAAGCAGATTGTTGGATTGGTGCGCAATGTGCAAGCAGTGCAGTGCAGCGACCACCGCAAGCATGGATTTGTGTAGGTTTAATCGACTGCCTTTACTGGACTGTTGGCGGTGGCGGATGAATAGCTCCAGGTGTAGCGCGCAGGGCGATGCAAGTGTGGTGCAGCTGCTACTGCAGCAGAGACACATGCTTAGAATGTTGCCCCCGCAGCAGCAACACTCCGTACAACAACACAGCTGTTGCGGCCGGTGAGGTGTCAGCCATCTCTGTTGCGGTGCTGCAGCATTCCATCTGAACAATGGCGTGGCACGAGTCTTTTTTATGAGCAGCACTACCACAGAACAGCAAAGTGGTGCGACCAGATGGCGCCCAACTGCTGCTGAAGTTGGTCGCGGTCGTTGGTCCTCCTACCCACCTACTCTTTAGGCAGAAGTTAATCGCATCCCAGGTGCAGGCAACACATGTCCACGTCGTACCCTTTCCCAGGCGGGAGGTTGCTGTGACCCCCACCCCCCTTGCGTGCAGCAGTTCGCTGGCAACACTGTCAAGGGCACTGACTCACCGGCGCCTTTGCGCAAGTGGTAGTTTTCTCTGGTTTACATGATACTTGATGCTGACCACTTCTTTCTTGAAGCTTGTTTAGCACTATCATAAGCAGAGCCACTAGCTTCCCATGTACCTGGCAGTGCGTGGGCGCCTGATAATCTGCATTGACCACCGCAGTCCACCAAACGCCAGGCCCATAACGTCGCCTGATCAATAAAGGATTGATTTTTTTGCCGTTTGAAGAAGCGGGCCAAGAAAGTTGACTGGCTCATCAACCTGCAGCCAACTGCCTGGCACTGGCTGGTGTGGCGGCAGTCATCTGATCACCATTGACAACACCCGGCATGAAAGCATTAACGAGATATCGCGGAATTGTTGTTTGAAATCAAAGGAAGGTGTATTGCACGCATACCAGCCACCAACCCATCATCATTGGCATCGATCTCACGATCGCCACACAAACACTTCTGCTGGTGTTTCCGCTGGGCAACCTGATTCACTGGAATAATGTTGACTGCCTCAACCACCCGTTGCTGCATTGTGGCCTCCCCCGGCCGCCCCGGGGCCTTTGCCGCTGGCAAGAGAGCACAAGCGTCGCAGCGCAAGGCGGTGTCAACCCATGCGACCAAGCTTTACACAAACCCTGGTGGGTGTGACGGCGATGATGGTGTCATCTGACAGTCTCATGAGCAAATCAATGCCGCAGCATGGCCAGCTGAATTCGTTCATCCACACCCACCCATCTGGACGCAGAAAAGCACTCCTTCCCACCCCCCACCTCACTCCCCACTCCCCAACCAATTCCCGAAGCCCCACCTCCACCACCACCCCCAATC